CACACACACACACACACACACACACACACACACACACACACACACACAGTACCAACATTACTGCTACAATGTATAAATAGTTTTAAATTTCTTTACAGTTTGTTTTGGGCTGAACCATGTTCCCCCAAGTTAATATGTTGAAGTGCCTCACAATGTGACTGTATTTGGAGCTAAGGTCTTCAAAGAGGTAATTAAGGTTAAATGAAGTCATTAGGGTGGGCTCTAATCTTGTTTGATTGCTGTCATAAGAAGGGGACATTAGGGCACAGACACAGAGGGAAGAACAGGTGAAGACACAGGGAGAAGACAGCCATGTCAAGGAGAGAGGCCCCAGAGGACACCAACCCTGCCAACTCCTTGATCTTAGACTTCCAGAATCCTGAGGAAATAAATTTCTGTTGTGTAAGCCTTGCAGCCTGTGGTACTTTATTATAGTAGCCCCAGCAAACTAATACAGAGTTCCTTTTTACCTGTAGGATATATCATAGTAAGGATATAGTTGGTTTACTCTATTTTAAAGTTACTAAAAATAATTCCTTTCTGTATAGTTAAGCCACTAATTCAATATAGAATGAGATTCATTTGTTTTCAGTTTTTAAGAATGTCTTTTTAAACCCATCTTTACTAAACTTTGTTCTATAATTATTTAAAACATATGCCTGTTCCAAAGTCCAATCTACAAAATAAAGTACATTTAGAGAAGTCAAGTCTAGCTTTTATCTCTCCCTGTCACTCTGTCCCTCATCTCCTACAGTTAACCATTTTTATGAGTGTTTGGTTTATCTTTCCATTTTAAAAAAGGGCAAATGCATATAAGCAGTTAGATTTCCCTTTCTCAGATGTTGATAGCATTCTCTACACTCCATTCTGCACCTGGCTTTTTCATTTAACAACATACTCCAGAAATCAAATGAATCCACAGAGTGACTTATCTTTCTTTTTCACAACTGCATAATCCTCCATTGTGTAGATGTCCACAATAGATGGACATTTGTGTTGTTTCCAGTCCTTCATTATTATATAAAATATGCTTGTAGCTTCTCTGGGTGTCTGAGACTTTAGGATAAATCTGATTAAATCTCCTGGGGTCCCACATCCATCCTTGTCTCAAAGTGGACCATTTCTATAGTTTATACTGATTGCTGAGATACTACATCTTTCACTCTTTCTTACCTCACTGTGCATAAGAAATATTTAGCATGAATAACTCAAGCTCCTATATTCAAAAATAATACCCATTGGGCTTTTGAAGGAAAAGAAATCAACCATCTATAATTCCATGGGTTACTTCCTCCTCCCTACCTTCTCCCCTAAGCAAGACACCAAGCAGAGATTATAGGTATGCTTCTGGTTCAGCAAACCAAACACTTAGCTCTAGAAAAGGAATCAGGGCACATCCTCTTAGGCACCATCTCCCCATCTCTGGTGAGGAGAACAGTCTGCTCCATTCACTTACTTATTCAGCAAATACTTAATAAATGTGTGTTATGTGCCAGACACCATCCTACATGATAAAGACAAAGCAGTAAGACAACCTCAGTATCTACTCACGTGTAGCTCAGTGACTCTTAGATTCTGTGACTGGCTTAAGCCATTTTGGTCCACACATAAAACAGCACTTAGTTCTCATTTATTTCCTCAAGAACATCATCATCTTCCCAAGGTGAACACCCGACCAAGTGTTTCTCCTCATTTTATGAAAAGCGAAGGGAAAAGGCCCAAAGGGTTTGGCCATACCCTCAGGGCTTCACCCTCAGGTGTCCAGATGGTAGGACTAGTAGAAGCAGTTCCTCTAATTCAGATGGATAGAAACCAACCTTTCCTTTACATGCCTCTTCTAAATAGTCATGTCTCAGGCTTAATTTTGCATTTATATTTCTCTGGACTCCCAAGTCCTTTTTATAATAGCAATAGTCACCATTTATTGAATATTCCTATGTTCCAGACATCACACTAAGCCTTTACAATTAAATCATGTAACCCCCCAATATAGGGTAGGTGCTATTACTATTATTACAGAGGGGGACACTGATGCTCAGCGTGGCTTTGATATGCCTGAGGTCACACAGCTAATAAGGGCAGATGCAATTAGAAAAGTCACATCAGTAAGTATAATCATAACAACTAACTTTTACTGAGAACTTATTCTTGTACCAAGTACTAAGTGTTTGACACATATTTATTAGCATGCAAAAATTTTTTCCTCATGGCCTGCTATTTCCTCCTGCTTGGAGGAAGCTCTCCAGCATATTTCTGACCTTCCCTACTCCTTGACTCACGCCTTTCTAGGAGAGGGTGAAGGACAACACGAAGCTGGGAGGGGTAAGAGAAGCAACTTCTCCGTGCTAAGGGCAGGGAGGAACCCCAATACATAGCTCAGCCCCTCTTTTCTTCCTCTTGATAGCAGCCCCCTCCAGAGCATGCTATAGCTATTCTCCCAGAATGCATGGTTTACAGGGACAGTTACCAATTGGGAGGCCTGCCCCAGCCTGTGGGCCTACCCTCTCTAATTCAGGGTACCCTCAAATATCAACCACTGACTCCAATATAAAATTGATCAGTGACAAAGCTGCGATTTTGATCCCATCTGATTTCTTTTTGCTCATGCCTTAACCATGCAGAACTTTGTAGAGAACAAGCAGTGCCCTGTATTATATCCTCTTGAATATCAAAACTAATGACTGATTTAGTCCTAATAAGAATTTCATTAGAAAAGCACTCTTTTCCTAGATGAGGAAAACAAGCAGCCTTGATTTGATCTTTCCTTTAAAGGAGTTCAGTTCAGGATCAAAGGAAATAAAGCATGTGAGAGTGTTTGCAAACTCTTAAAGCTACATAAGGCTGGTGGTTCTGGCTTTGCCACTCACTCGCAGTAGGAGCCTGATCAAGTACTTTCTGACTTCCCCTTCCTTTGTCAGTAACGGAGGGGTCCAACTGTCTGCTCTTTGCAGCTCATTCCTGCTGGAACGTTCTGGGACTATGAGTCAATGATGACTATCGTTGACTGTTTCCTGCGGCTTCTTCTGCGTCATTGAGGACTTTTGGATGCTGACTATTCCGCTGAGTGAGCTAGACCCAGTCCCTGGGGGGCACAAGGTGCTGGAATCTCCCTCCCCCACTCAGTGGGCCCCGCCTTCTGAGGTTTGCTGTTCAGGGGCCCTTGGTTGCTGCAGCAACATAACAGACGCCCACACTTCCGTTTCTGAGAGTGGTGACAGCCCATCTGCCAGTAGACTGTCGATGCAGGAGCTCTCCCTGGCCAGCAGCTTTGCAGAACCTCCTCGCTTACTCATCAGGGCCCGACCACAGAGAAAGAAAACCCCCTTATCTTCCTAGGGAGTTGTGGAGGCTGCAGTGAAGTCATGCGGATACTTTCCCGGAAAAAATGCACAGCGTGAGGAAGAAAAATCTCAAAGAGATCCAGGCCCAGTGTTACAAGCCTGATTCAGAGCAGAGTCCTACCATTGCCAAAGCCTGTCCTGTGGCGTCATGAAATCTAGTTTAGTCATCAGATTACAGGTTGATGGAGACCTGTGGCAGGACTTCACTCTTAAGTTTCATCTGATTCCGAAACTCGGCGGTTTAACGCCGGAAAAACAACAAAACAGCAAAGAACAGGAAGTGGAAAAGCATTTTGCCTATTGGAAACCACCTGCACTCCTCCAAAACAGCTGTCAAATTAGCCCAGATACCCTCCTTTCTGGGGGTGTCCCCACATAGGACTTTGTCGATGAATTTGATGCCCCAGTTCTTCAGAAGGTCCTAATCACTGGGGAACTTCGGGGTTGTGACTCCCTGCGCCACAACAAGAGAGATCACTCACCCTTGCATTTTCTGAAAAAAGCGACTGCAGCGGGGTGGGGAAATAAGGACACAGCCAGGGCCAAGTTCTGAATAAGTGCAAAGGAAATCCTTCCCTACAAGTGCTGAGACAGCTCCTGGGAAGGGAGGAACAGGGATGTGTGTTTGCTTTGGCCAAGAGCAGACCATGGGAGTAAGACAAGTACAGGTTTGAAAGTGCAAAAGGGTGGGGATGTCAGCATGTATCAGAGGGACAAGGGCAGGCAGCCAGGATAAGAAAGACTCCTCTGTCCTTCTGGCCCTTACCCTCGCAGGGTCTGTTCCCACCCACAACCGGCAGACACTTCCTCACTTAGGTGGCCCTCGGGGCATTGTTCCCAGAGCGGAAAGTGCAGGTGTTGGCAACCATATCAAAGACCTTGGATTGTTTAGAAACCTTTACACCTCTGATCACCGGGATCACAGAGCCCAAAGGCCATCCAAGGCTGCTGGCAACTTTGGAACAATAGACTTGGCCCCTTGTCTGTCTGCATGGCTTTCCGAAAGAGTCAAATGTGCCCCCAGGACAATTACCGCCCTACCAACCTTCAGGTCGGTTCTGCCCAGTTGAGGAAGGTGCTAAAGCCAGTACCAGTTAGAGATGTGAAGCGGGGATTAGCATGCTTTCTTTATTCCTGGGAGAGAGAGAAAGAGTTCTGTGAAGCACTCTGCACAAAATTTAAGGGGGCACCAAAAACCTCAGTCATCTGGAACAATAATATTCTAATATAATCTTAAAATTCTATTGTTATTTTGCCCTGATTTTGATTTTGAAAATTATTACATCACAATATGGCTTATCTGGATGACAGAGTGTTTTGGCACCTCCTTAAATTTTGCACTGGAAACTAGTGCCTCACTCTCCTCACCCTAGTCTCTCAGCCCTGCTAAGAAATGGTGTTATTCACAAACACTCAGAAATAGGAGATATGGACAAACCCAGTGATGGTTAATCAGGAGGCAGGGGCCTTCAGAAGGTGTGGGAAGTGTGGCCCTGATAACCCAGGCCTAGATACTGACGTTGGGCAGAGCCGGGAGAGCAGCCAGCCTCCAGATACAGGCTCCAGATACCTGAGAATTCTCCAGGGGATGCTGCTGGGAAGCCGCGTCCAGGAGCCCAGTCCATCCACCTGATGTTCTCCATGGGGAGGCTGGGGCAAGTGTTGGCAGTGGGCTGTTGCCTACTTGTATCACCCCAGAAGGACTGGGAAGGTGCCCTTTCCCTGAGGGTCACAGCAGGGTATGGCGTCAGCAGAGTTGGTTAGTCCTTTGGCTCTTGCAGTTTTAAAGATGGGTTTTAAAGAACCTTTCATTAAAATAAACCACCTCTGTGGGAGACCATTGTGGTCTTAACAGAGACAGACTTATTCATTCATTCATTCAACAAATGTTTACTGAGTACCACCACACATGGTCAAGAGGATACACTGCCCAGTGTAATGGGAATAAAGAGAGAAATGTTAACTTAGTGTACTGAGGTCAGGACTGAGGCCAGGGCAGACTGGAGGAAGGGCACCTCATCAATCAGATCGGCTAAGGACCCACAGTACTCCGAGCAGGCTCCACCTGGGATTCCTAGGAAGAGGTCCAGAAAAGGAGAGAGCTCTCAGGACACCTTTCACCCATTTCTCAGTCTTTCTTGGGCTGTGTAGGGCTAGAGGGGGCAGCCAGCAATTGGATTTGATCATGGACATCTTGCTGCCGGACCTGAGGGTGTGCCATTCTCATAGAATACAATGTACAACTCAGCATGATGGGATTGGAGGGTTCTGTCTGGATCTGTGAAGACAGTCTCTGAGAGGGGGGTGAGTTTGCCCCTGCAGGTAAGTGGCTGTGCATGTGGGGGTCTGTGCCAGAGGAATCCTGACCCTTGCGGGGTGGGAAGAGAGCCTACGTGGGCCCCGCCTCTTGTATCTCTGTCTGGGGCTGGCCTGACATTGACTGGCTTGGGAGTAAGCTGGCCCTGACCCAGCTTCTCCAGTGATAAAGGAGCTGTGACCCCAGTGAAGCAGCCTTGCTGGTGGAGATAGGCCATTCCATTTGTGCTCTCTTTGATGTGCTTCTCAGGGGAGGTGGTGGTGGTGGGAGGGGAGTGGGGGGGGGTTGGGGGCGTGAATGGGATAGCTAATCAATGATTTTGCAGCCTGGGAAATGACAAGAGATGGTGGAGGATAGGAATGTTCTTGAATCCTGAAACCGCTCTCTCTTTTTAAGCAATTAATAAACATTTATGCAGCCCTTTTACATACATCATCCTATTTCTTTTTTATGACAATTCTGTTATGAGAGGTTCTGTTATTCCCATTTCCCAGATGAGGAAACTGAGTCACTAGAGGGTGACAGAACTTCCAGATAATACACCAGCAAACAGAAAAGTTAGGACTTGAACATTACATCTGTGCCTCTTTCCCTGTGTCACTCAGGCCCTGTGACCCCAAATACTCTTGTGCCTCAGGCCAGACACCTGGAGTCATCCTTTCCTCCTCCCTCTGCTCCTCACAACCCATGGTATTTCTGCCTAAGAATGTATCTCAAACCTGCTTATTTTTCTCTACCTCCCTGCCCCATCCTGGTCCAAGCCATCCCCATCACTTACGTCCTTACAGCTCTCTCTGCTGCCACCCTTGCACTCCCTTGGATTTTTTTCTCTTCTTACTGGCTGTGTGTCCTTAGGCAAGTTTCTTAACCTCTCAGAGCCTGAGTGTTATCTCTGTAAAATAGAAATTAGATTAGGATTAGGCATGTTGCTGTGTTTAGAGCAGTGCCTTCCAAGAGAAATATCAATGTAAGGTTCCTGTGTAGTGAGTGCATCACCATATTAAAACAGGCAAAGAGAAAAAAGTGAAATTAATTTCAATAATAAAAGCTACTTAACATAAAAATACCATCCACTTAACATGTAATCAAATTTTAAAAAAATAGTAATGAGCTGTTTTATATTCCTTTTCTCACACTACGTCTTCAAAGTCTAGTGTGTATTTTACACTTACTACCTATCTCAATTCGTACTAGCACATTCCAAGTGTCCAATAACTGTTGTCAGGCAACTGCGTGTGGGGAGGTCTCTCCCTGCACACTAGGTAAAACCTCAACCTGGATGGTGGAGGGTTCTTGACTCTGATCAAATAAGAATTCATGAACAGCTGGATCAGTGTAGGTAAGGAAGGAATTCATTAAAGTGAGAGTAGTAGTGGATGGCAGCAGCCATGTAGGCAGTAGAGAGCAAGGAAGAACAGAGGGAGAAAGGGAAGCTCATTGAACTCCTGCTTGCTATAGGGCAAGTCCCTTGCCAATTCCTGAGGCCAGTGTCACCTGGAGTCCAGTGTCTGCTTAACTGCACAGCCTGGGAACTAAGCCCTCACCACCCCAGGATTTGGGAGAGCCACATAGCACTGGATGGAGTGAGGTTATGTTCTGAGAACTTCCCAAAGGCAAAGAAAGGAGATTTTCAGGCAGGCTACTAAAGAGCACAATCATACAGCTGCAGTCCTGTCTGGGTCACCCAGGTGATGGGATCAGAGATCTTAGTAACCCTTCCCTACGTGTCTGAAGTAGAACAGAGAAAGTGAAGACCTGTGCTTAAGCCTAGAAAATTGAATGAAATGGTGAAGTAACAAAGATGCTTACCATTGGGAAAAAGGGTCTCTTATTAACCTCCCAAGAGGCTTGGAAGAGCATAGATACAAAACACAATAAGCTGAGCAGCAAAAAGGTTTTATTTAAGGCAAAGCACACACTTGAAGAAAGGTGAGTGAGGGCAGCCTCAGGGAGGAAGCACATTTAAAGTTTAGGATTATGTCTTTTACAGATTTCAAGAATGGGCCAAAGAGCCAGGGGGGCATAGGCTTGACATGTGGTCTCATGATGTCCATTTCTGGTGAGAGTCATTATGTCATTATCCATAGTCTTTCCTCTAGATAATCTGTAAAATAAACTTAATATAAAGAATGTACTGATCTTGTTCCTCTCTAAGATAGTGGTTGTCCTCAAGCAGTGGGAACATACCATTTAGGACTGCTTGCGTTGCCTTAGGACGGGGTCAGTTATTAGCTAATTACCATAAGGTATGTTACGAATATTACCTCCTAACTCCCTGGTTTTTAAAATGGAATCTTAGCCTTCAAGATGGATGGAGTTCCTCCTGTTCTTACTATACTATTTATATCTTAGTATTTTTCATCATAGGCAGGAAAGATTAACCATGATGCTGTCCCATGTCTCTTCTGTGCCTCATAACCTGTGTGGCCAGTGGCTAGCATGCCGGGCAGCATGGGTTTAAAGTGCTCAGAGCCAGGGCCTGGCGCATAAATGTTCACTACTAGAGTGAGGGTGGTTGTTCTTGCTTGGCCCTGGGCCCCAGGCAGGAGGCTGCTCGGGGCTCATTCATCTCCTCACGGTTTTGCTCTTGCTTTTCCCGGCCTACAGCATTCACTACAGGAGGTTATGGGACTGACTCCAGGAGGGCAGAAGCTCTGGCTTCTGTTCCCTGCCAGCAGCCAGCCTTACCATGAGGCCCACCATGCCTTAGCTTTCCTGTCTGCTAATGGGGAGAGTTTACACTTAGCTTAATTTAATTATATGGAATCAGTCTTAATGTAATTAGCATGTCTGTTGGGGCTTCCCCAGTGGTAGAAGGACATATTTTGGGCAAGGAGGGTTCAAGAAATGCCCCTTTGAGTCAGGAGGAAAGGCGTTTCCACATCTCTGGGCCTCTGCTGAGCAGGAGGGAGGCACCTGAGCCACAGTGGAAGGGGGTAATTAGGGAGGAGTTTCCAGGGCAGAGCAAGACACCTCTGCTGAATTGTGGTGTCCTTGCATTTATTTGATTTGAAAAAGTTTGGCTGGAAGCACCTGGAGCCTGGAAGGAGGGTCTACCCTTCAGTGGGGTTTCCTGTCCCCATCCCTGCTGCCATGCTCCCTGGCCCAAATGCAGAAGAAAAACACTCTCTTCAAAGAACTGTGTCAGGTGGACCAACGGCTGACTCTTGCCCTCAGGCCGACTAGCCACTCTGCTCAGCTGCTGGCACGGCTAATTGCTGCCATTACTGCCAGGGTATAACACTTGCCTTCTGTGGGTAAAATTGTAATATCTCCCGAATATCTCGCCTGGCTTTAGTGCATATGCAATCAACAGGCGTTCCTCATGGGTGGAGAGTAGTTAATCTTCATATCAGTGGGTTATTACCCAGGCAACAGAGTGCTTATCTGAACCTGAGAGGTTGGGGGAGTGCTGATTTTGTGGAGCAGAAAAGAGAGACGGCGCCAGACTGCAGTTTGTAAACAATAAATGGGTTTTAAACTTTATTTCTCCCTTTGACTAATTTCAGTTTTAGAGGTATTTTGTCCTGGGATTTCCTTTCCCCAGAGTTAGACCTGCCCAGAGCACCTCAAACACTTGGCTTTGCCCTCCTCATGTTTGTCAGGAATCCATCTGTATTTGTTTGGTGGAGCTGCCTTAACAAAGCACAGCAAACTGGGTGGCTTAGAACAAGAGAAACTTATTGTCCCACAGTCTGGAAGCTGGAAGTAGGAAATCAGGGGCCAGCATGGTTGGTTCCTTGTAGGAGCTATTTTCCTGTAAAGGAAAGATCTCCATCCCCTCTCCTAGTTTCTGGTAGCTGTTGAGTTCCTGGGCTTGTAGACAGTGTTCTGTATCTTAACATCATTTTCACTCTATGCATGTCAATGTCTGGGTCCAAATGTCCCCTTTTTATAAGGACCCCATCAAATTGGATTAGTGTCCATCCTAATGACCTCATTTAACCTGATTATCATGGTTAAAGACCCTATCTCCAAATAAGGTTCTGATTTATCTGGGTTAGGACTTCAACATATGAATTTTGGGGAAATACAGCTAGGTCATAACCCAGTCTAAGCTTCTCTCATGAGAGGAGACATCACTACTTAGGAGGTCAGTGAGCCTCTGAACCTTGCAGAGCCAGTGACCAAGTCTTCAAGCATACAAAGGATCTGACAGAGCAGCCAGGGTCATTACCAGTAATTACTGAGCCAGCTCACATAAACTCAGAATTTCCTGGGGCTGTAGGCATACAATGACCAACAAAACTCAGCCTCCGCCCTTCAGGAAATGTAATCCAACAGGAGAGATAAGACATTAACCAGATAATAAAATATAGGGCAATGAAAGGTACAAAGAATAAAACCCTAGAAGAGGGAGCGCTATCTTGTGTTTGAGAGATAAGTGACAGCTTCACAAAGATTCACTTTGAACAGTCATCTGGATTCCAAAGGTGAAGGTGAGAAAAGGGAGGCATCCAGGGGTGGAATTCCAGAGAAAGGTGGGAATTCGACCGAAGACTGGATTGCTTGACATGTTCAGGAGATGGATGGAGGCAGCCAGAGGGAGACGGGAGGCAAAGCCTCATAGTGGTGAGCTTTTCCTGCTGGGCAGGGGACCACTGAGAGTTTTTTGCAGGAGGACACAAGGCAAATCATCTATTAGTGACATTAGTCTGGTCAGTAAGAACGGGACAGGAGGATTAGGAAGGTGGAGGGGGAAAGGCAAGGACAAATAGAGGCTGGGTAGTTTTTGAAAGGTGGTGGGAGTGCAAAGGAAGGGGTGGGAGTGGGAAAGTAGGAAGCAAGAGCCTGCAGAACTTGACATGGAGTGGATGCATAGGTTCAAGACAGAAAGAGGAAACAAAGACGGCTTCAGCTTTTCAAGTCGGGGTCATTTGGAAAGGGTGGGTAGCAGTTAGAGAAGGAAACAGGGAAGTCAGAGGTGTGGCTGTTCTGCCCTGCTGGATGCTCCCTGCCAGAGCAGAGAGGCTGGGTGCTCCCCTTCCTCCTGCTGCCCTTTTGTTGCCAAAGCAGGAGTGGCCCTCCCTGACTCCTGCCTCATTTCTTGTTTCCTTAGAAGCTGTATCTTAATCATTTAAAGGCATGCTGTTGTCCCAGTGCTGTTCTTGATGTCACAATGAGGAAATGAGAAAAGGAGGGACTTTAAAGCAATATCACGGAGATAAGAAACCAGGAGATTGCAGCAGTGTGAAATACATATCTGACAACATAATCTCAACCCACAACTGGCTCAGCACCCACAGGATGGCTCAAAATAGATACTTGCATTCAGTCCCTGTGTGCCAGGCAGCTGCACTGGTAGTTCTCTCCTGTGCACCAAGTGAAACCTCAACCTGGAGAGGGGAGGGTTCTTGACTCTGAACAAGAGAGAATTCTTGAGCAGGTCAGAAGAGTATAGGTGACGGCAAATTCTGGCGCACTAAGACCCCCACCCCTTAAGATCCAATCACCACTGACCAGATGGTTGTTGCCCACCCCTTAAGATCCAATCACCAATGCAGAACACACCCTACCCCTACTCCTTAAAAACGCTCTTCCTCATCCACAAGCTGCTGCTTCCTTTCTCTCTCTAGGGGCAGCCACTTTCTCTTTCAGATAATAAAGTCTCTTGCATGGGCCTGTGTCTCCTGAGTCATTCTGGGTAAGGAGGGTCACGGTGAGATACCCTTTCATTGGTGCTGTGACTTCGATGAGGCTCTCCCATTGACTTTGCTCTTCCTCCGGGAACCTGAGCTGCTCTGGGAGCCCTCACTGCCCGATCCTCCTCCACGGGCTCACCGTCCACTTCCCCGGTCGCTCGTCTTCACGCCCAATGCCAGCCTTCAATTTGGTAAGTCCCCCCTTCATGGTCAACTTAAATGTCCCTTTGGAACCTGGAGAGTGACCTTTGAGTGCCCAGCACACCCAGGGTCTCCTCCGGGACAGAGGCACCCCCAACCATGACTTTCAGAGTCATGGTTGATCCCCATAGTTGACCCTCCTCTGCCTCCCCATGGTGAGAATCCTCATTCACTGAAGCCCGATCTCCCTTTTTCTACTTGTAGACTCCTGGTACCAGGTATGGAGCCTCCTCAGCGTTTTCGCCTCGACTGCTCGGTTAGAGGTGGTGACGACCCTCTAACTGGTCTTCTCTGCGACCTTCTCAATCACTGTGGGATGCCTCAGCAACTTGTGAATGGTCTCATTCTCATCATGGGATCTGGCCCCTCCATTCCCGCAGATTCACTGCTAGGGTGCTTACTCGATAATCTAAAGCCCCTGCACCTCACTCCAGACCTCAAACCTTTTAAGCTTATTCACTACTGTAATGAGATCTGGCCACAATCAGTCTAAATGGCATCCCAATGACTCTTTAGATCCTAAAATTCTCCACGACTTATACAACTTCTGAGTGCACGGGCAAATGGAAAGAGATCCCATATATCCAGGCTTTCTCCTACCTCTGAACCAAGCTCTCTCTCTGTCTCCCTTGCAATCCTAAGCACTTCTCCTCACTCTAAAAACCTTCACCCCACCACCCACCAATTCCCACCATGTCCTCTGACTTTGACCCTGCTGATGAACCTCCTCCCTACCAATCTCAAACTCCTACAGGTCCCCCTCAACCACCAGTTCCTCTCCCGCCCCAACCTCCTTCTCTGCAAGATTAAAATCCCAACCCTCCCAGCTCCCCTAGTGCCTTGCAGGAGCCGCAGCACCTCCTCCTCCTCCACAACCAGTTCCCCTTCCCTCACCCAGTCCAGCGCCAAGCTCTCCAGTCACTCGCTATTGAACCCAGATCCTAGCCCCACTACAGGAAGTAGCTGGTACAGAGGGCATCGTCCCGGTCCATGTCCCTTTCTCTCTCTCCAACCTATCTCAAATTGAGAAAAGATTAGGCTTTTTCACCTCCAACCCAGCTACTTACATAAAAGAGTTCCAGTACCTAACTCAGTCATATGATCTTACCTTCCATGATATTCACATGATCCTATCCAACACACTTTTGCCCAAGGACTGTAGGCGAGTCTGGGAACAGGCTAGAACTCATGCTGATGAGGTTCACCAAACTACTCCAGCTCATCCAATTGGTGCTGAGGAGGTTCCTGACTGAGACCCTAATTGGGACTATAATAAGGCAGGTGTAGTCACCAGATGAGATCAATTCATCACCTGCCTTGTGGCAGGTCTCAGGAAGTCAGCCAATAAAGCCATTAACTATGAAAAACTCCAAGAGGTTATTCAGGATAAAAATGAGAATCTCCCTATGTTCCTAGACCACCTCACCAAAGCTCTTTTACAATATACAAACCCAGACCCTGAGACCCCAGATGGGAGACAATTATTAATGACCTACTTCTTCACCCAGAGTTTCCCCAACATTAATGCTAGACTTAGACATCTAGAGAAGGGACCCTTAACTCCTCAGGCAGAAGTCCTGGCAGTGGCCTTCAAAGTATATAGTGGAAGAGAAGAAAAGGCCCGTAAACAAAAATATCAAATGCTGACTTTCAGCCTACCCCAACCACTGGTGCTTGGGTATCCTCGCTTCCTAAGCCACAGCCAGGAGGACCTCCTGGTCCATGCTTCAAATGTGGTCAAACAGGTCATTGGGCTAGAGCCTGCCCAAGTCCCTGGAAGTCCCCCGGTTCATGTCCTAAGAGCCATCAGGTGGGACACTGGGCTGTTGACTGTCCTCACACACTGAGAGTTGCCACTCACACACTGAGAGGTGCCAGGCCATCCAGCTCTAACACTCCACACATAGACCTTCTGGGTCTGGCAAGTGATGACTGAGGGGACCCAGGACTCCTTCACCCGACCACTACCATCACTGTACAGGAGCCCAGGGTAACCACTGTGGTAGCGGGTAGGCCCATCTCTTTCCTTTTGGACACCGGGCCACCTACTCAGTCCTGAAGGAGTTTTGGGGACCTACCTCCCTCTCACAGTACTCTATAGTCGGGGTAGAGGACACACCCTTTCAGCCTTTTCAAACTCCCATGCTTCACTGCCTCTTTAAGGGCGTTGCTCTCTCTCATTCCTTTTTAGTGATTCCCCATTGTCTGGTTCCCCTTATGGGAAGGGACCTATTATCTAAGCTAGGGGCCCCTATCACCTTTACCCTTAGCCCACACCTCAACCCTGACTCACCTTCGATCCCTTTTCTACTTGCTCTCCAAATCATTCCAGACCCACCTCCCTCCCCTTTTCCCTTATCCCCTTGCCAAGTAAACCCCACAGTCTGGGACACCTCTACCTCCTCCATCACCACCTGCCCACCCGTAACCATCAAACTCAAAGACCCTACCTCCTTCCCCTCACAATCTCAATACCCCTTCTATGAAAGGGCCTTTTGAGACCAGCCAATTCCCCTTACAACACCATGATACTGACTATCAAAAAATCTAATGGTTCTTATAGGCTAGTTCAAGATTTAAGAATTATCAGTGCAGCTGTTATTCTAATCCATCCAGTAGTCTCTAACCCCTATACTTTATTATCCACTATCCCCACCTCTTCTACTTACCTCTCCGTCCCTGACCTCAAAAATGCATTCTTCACGATTCTCCTCCATCCCAATGGGACCACTTACACCTTCAACTCCACAGACTACAAATCCTCCAATAATCTACTCTACAACCCAAACAGGACCTCCTTACAGCTGCATAAGGTGGCATTGTGCCCTACTCCAAGAACAATGCTGCTTCTACACCAAAAAATCTGGTCTTGTTCAGGATGGTGCAAAACACCTCCGTGAACAAGCCTCCAAACTCCTAGAAAACTCCCCTAACAATCTGTTCCCTTACCCCTTCAGTTAGCTCCTGCCCCTCCTTATTACTTTTATTATTCTTCTCCTGTTCCTTCCCTGCTTCATTAACCTATTCCAAAAATTCATTCAAAATAAAATTTTGAAAATTTCTAACCATACTGTCAACCAGTTACTCCCTCCAGGGCTATCAAGGCCTTCTCACGAAGAATAATGAAACCAGCCAAATGACATCACGAATCATCTCAAGATGCCCGCCCTTCCCCAACTCTACAGCAATGACCTCGCTAACCCCAGAATCTGCATCCCCTTCTGCAGAAGTAGCTAGAGAATGAGATTCTACACCCAGTTCCTCAGAGGCCCAATTAAGAAAAGAAAAAGATGGGAATGAAGGCGAATTCTGGCGCACTAAGACCCCCATCCCTTAAGATCCAATCACCACTGACCAGATGGTCGCCCACCCCTTAAGATCCAATCACCAATGCAGAACACACCCTACCCCTACTACTTAAAAACGCTCTTCCTCACCCACGGGCTGCTGCTCCCTCTCTCTCTCTTTCTAGGGGCAGCCACTTTCTCTTTCAGATAACAAAATCTCTTGCATGGGCCCATGTCTCCTGAGTCGTTCTGAGTAAGGAGGGTTGCGGCGAGATACCCTTTCAATAGGTAAGGAAGGAATCAGAACGAAAGTAAGAAGGAATGGCAGCAGCCTTGCAGGTAGCTGAGAGCAGGAAAGTGCAGAGAGAAGAGCGGGAGGTTGCTGAACTTTTCGGCATAGGGAAGTCTCCCTCACCAGGTTCTGAGGCCGGGATCACCTGGCGTCTTGTGTTCGCTTGAATCTGCATGGCATGGGGGCTAGCCCCTACCGTCCCAGGATTTGGGGGAGCCACGGAGTACAAGATGGAGTGAGATCTTATTCTGAAAACATCCCAAAGAAGGGAAATTTTCAGGCAGGCTACTGCAGCTAGAGTTCCGTCAGGGTCACTTAGGCGATGGGAAACTCGCAGGCTCAAATCTGAGCTCTCAGCAGCGCCCCCCCACTTATCAGAAATAAAGCAGAGACGAAGTGGAGACTTGGAAATGGAGTGAAATAGCAGAGAAACAAAGACGCTTACCACTGGAAAGGTGCAGAGAGACAAAACATAGTTAAGTTGAGCCATGAGAAAGCTTTTTTTAAAGTCATGTATTTAAAGAAAGGAAAGTGCAGACATCCTCAGAGAAGAGGTGCACTGACAGGTTGGGGGTTCCCTCACTTTAATCATTTTTCAGGAATGTGGCAGATGGGCAGGGGTGTAGTTGTCAGTGGTCTCAATATGCTTATCTCTGGTGAGAGACACCATATCTCCTTTCCCCTATTATCATTCCTTTGGCCAATTCCACAAAATAAACTTAACACAAGAAATTTATTGATCCGGTTCCTCCCCAGAATAGCAGCTTCCCTCTGGGAACATATCAATCAAGACCACCTGTCTTGCCCCCAAAGTGGGCTGTTATTATTTGTTTGATAAAGAATATGTTAGGGAAAAAAAAGTATGTTAGGAACCTTACTTCCTACCTTCCTGGCCTTTGAAATGGAATCTTTGTCTTAAGATGGAATCCCTCCTGTTATACTGTCTATATCTCTGCTTGTTTGGAGAATTAATCATAATGCTTATCTCAGGTCCCTGCCCTATATCACCTAGGTCCTGGCTTTTCTCCCTCTGAAATGCATAAGATGCAACTTTGGTCTTCATATGAAAGCTTCTTATCTCCTATGTTCAGTGCTCCTCTGTGTGTGTCTGTGTATGTGTGTTCCCCACTTGGCATCTTCCCCCCCTCCCCCACCTCAGCCCTCTCTCACTGAAGGAACATTTTAACCCCCTGATAGCCATTTCTAAGCCTTATTGTCTAATCAGGCAGAAACTCTAGTGTGGTCAGTGAGATGGCGAGAGTGTCACAGGGAAGCCATTGCCCACTAATAAATATGCTGCAAACTAATTTGGCTGAAGCCACCTGTTTTCATGATCTATTAATCTCCAAGGCCTAAGAGGGGGAAGCCCAAGTCCAAGATGATGCTGTGGCCCTGACAACACATGTTTCTGGATAGTACTCCCACAGAAAACATCTGGAATCATCCAGGGGTGGACTGAAAGGGAACATAATGTGTGAAATGCAGGGTAGTCAGCTTGTAATTGGACAGTGAGTGATGGGGATGATGGGTGGAGAACTGTGAAAGCCTGGGCTGGCATTTTCTCTAGTCTCAGCAACTGCCACTCCATAATAATTTAAATTCTATTAGAAATGGTCCAAACACGCAACAGTAGGGGATTTCCTTAAATCATTACCTTTGATCTGTCTAAAGAAATACACTGCAGCCATTAAAAGGGAATGGCAGTAATGGGATTTGTGGGGGGGACTTGGTGAAGGGGGGAGTCTAGTAAACATAATGTTCTTCATGTAATTGTAGATTAATGATAACAAAATGAATAAAAAAAGGGAATGGCAGAGGTGGCTGTACTGACATGGAAAGATGTTCACGATCTATTGTTGAGGACACATACAGTAGTATCTAGTTTTTTTGTGTATGAAAAGCATATGTATACCAAATATTAATTTGTATATGTCCTGATTGCATTATGGGTGACTTTCTCACTCTTTTAATTTTGTTTTTTTTTTCTTCAATGAATGTACACTACTTGTGAAGTTTTTAAATGAATGAAATTCTTTAACAATACCATCTGCCCTCAGAAATAGTTCTTTGATGTTTAATTGGAGAGTGGCATTAGGTGAAGAGCATCTCCAAAGCCAGCCATGGTCCTCTCCACCGCCCTCCTCACTGCTTTCCATCTCAAAGCTTCTATCATCGGCAGGACTTCTCTTTGCTCTCCAGAGCCCTGCTGGGACATCATGGGAGCTTTGATAAGCACCACTGCCTTCACTAGGACAGGAAAGGGTCTTAGGCAGGCAAATGACCCTTGCTCTGAAATTCCCCGGTTAGCCAAGGCCTGTAGTAGGTAGGGACTGACCTTCTTTCTCTCTCTTTCTGTTTGCCAGCTGCCAGCTGTTTCTTTCATAATAGGTTTTCTTCTGGTTTCAGTCCCATGACTTTGCCTTCCGAGTGCTATGTACCCTGGCCAGCTGGTTGGCAGGACTGGTTTTTAGGGTTATTGACTCTTCAGGTCACACAAGGGTTAAGTGCCATGGGAAAAGCAAAAGCAAAGTCAGAAGGTCACCAGGAAAGGTCATCAGGGCAGGG